TTGCAATTGTGACATTCCTTCAGGGTTTCTCTGAGCTTGCCTTATTGCTGCCTGGTTTTTTTTATTTCAGGTTAGCTCTATGTTTAGATAATCTATGATTATCTGTTCTGCAGCTGTTAAATTTTATGACAAAGTAAAATTTTTATGAGACCTTGACAAGACCTGCATCCCTAGATGATGACTATTACTTTTAACTAAGTTAAAGTAGTTAGGAGGGGCAACTTCATTGCTCTCTACAGCTTCCTGAGGAGGGGAAGTGGAGAGGAAGGTGCTGAGCTCTCCTCCCTGGTATCCAGTGACAGGATGAATGGTGATGGTTCAAAGAGGTTCAGACTGGACACTAGGAAGCATTTCTTTACTGAGAGGGTGGCCAGACTCTGGAACAGGCTTCCTGGGGAGGTGGTTGATGCCCCAATCGTGTCAGTGTTTAGGAAGTATTTGGACAATGCCCTTAACAACACACTTTAAATTTTGGTCAGGCAGTTGGACAAATGATTGTTGTGAGTCCCTTCCAACCAAAATCTACTCTGCTCTTGTCTATTTGTCTTTGAGTAGAGCAAGTAGCATTTCTTCATCCTCAGCATTTCACAGGAATGATAAAACTGGTAACTACTCAGTTGGTATCTTATTTGTTTACTCCATATATTGATGGGTTTTTCACTGTAGTATTTAATGCTTAAACAGGTTCACTGGAGCTGCATTAACATTTTTAGTTTCTGTATTATAGTTTGAACACAGAAGTATTCCTGTGAGTTTCTGACCAATGAAGGAGCTGTATAAAACTACGTGCTACAGTTTCAACATGTTTAAATCACTGCCATCTTATTTCAATTCACACATCTGAAAACATTTGAAAATAAATTCATGTGATTCCCCTCCCTTGTGAGATGCTTCATGGTGTGCAATCAAGCAACTGCCCGTTCTCTGTGACTTGAGATTTGCTGATATTCTTTCTCTACTGCTGCTACCTGTGAATTTGCATTTGTCCTCCATGTCTGGTGCCAGATCAACTTCTGATCCACATTTGTTTAGGCTTCCAATCACAGTCTTCCCTTCTCAAACTGCAAAATGCGTTTGCATCATGACTAAAATATTAAACTTGGTGTGGGTGAAGCAATGTTGCTGTCCTGTACTTCCTGTCTAAATTTCTATGATTCACTATAGAAAACAGCCTCAGAATTCTCTCTTTTCCATCTTCACACTCTGGGTACTTCACAGTCTTATTGGGACACTGAATGTAGCAGATGTGTCTACTTTTGAGGTGTTTGTTGCCTCTGCCCTTACAACTTTACTAACATACTCTTTGCTGTCATTTTTTTTTTTAATTATAAATTGCTCACCTTCCCCTTCAAACATAATCTTTTCCTCAGAAGAAGAATTTTTTAGTTGCATTTTTTTTTTGTTCTGCAGGTTAGGAAGGGCCTCTGGGAGTCAACTGATCCAACTCTGCTTAAAGCCAAACCAGTTCTGATGTTAGATCAGGTTGTTCACGTCCTCGTGCAGTTAAAGTTTGAAAATTTCTAAAGACAGAGGTTTTGCAGCTCCCCTGGACAGTCTACTCAATTCACCAGTCCTAGGGATTCTTTTCTACAAAGTAGGATTTCCAATGTTACAGCTTGTGTTTTGCCTTTTGTCCTTTCACATTGTCCCCCTTAGAAGTAAAAAGTCCTTTCAGCTTCTGTTGAAGCCAACCATTTAGACATTCCTAAGCTGAACAACTCCAGTTCTCTCAGCTTCAGTATGAGCATCATGTGGTCCCACGCTCTAAACATCTTGGTATCCTTCCATTAAGCTGGGAAGTGTTGTGACCCTTCTCTTGCACTGAGGAGCCCAAAGCCAGACATAGCATTCCAGAGATGACCTCACAAGTGACAAATGGGAAAGAAAAACTCACTTGCCTCCACCTACTCACTGTGCATTTACCGACGCGGCCTGGTGTGCAGTCAGAGCAGAGGCTTGCTGCCTGTTCCTCTTTGTTCATCTTGTCCTCCACGAGTGCTCTTAGGTCCTCTTTCTCAAGATTCCTTCTGGCTATTGAGTGCCATCCTGAACCATTGTGTGGTGGTGTTCCATCCCAGCTACAGGACTCTACATTTGCCTTTGAACTTTGTGAGGTTGCTGTCAGCTCATTTTCCCATCCTGTCTGGGTCCCTCTTAGGAGCAGCCCTGCCCTCCAGTGTATCAACTTTGAACCCTGACCATGACTCCAGCAGGTTTTCCACTCACCTTGCAATTTCTCTGTGCAATCCCTGCTGGTCTGGTTTGCCTACATAGATACTTTGAGATTCTGTGTTTAAAGCCATGCTACAGTCAAGGAAAGGTAATGTGTACTGCTCTCCCCTTGTCTGCCAAGATAGACATCTCATCATGGAAGACACTGAGGTTAATCAAACACAGTTTGTCTTTTCTAGATCCTTTCTGGTTGTTGCCATCCTTTCTTGTCTATCAAGTGCATGGAAATGGATTCCAGAAAGCTATGCTCCATGATCATCATGGACAATGCAGTTAGGCTGCTGTTCCAGCCTGCCTTCTGGGTCCTCCTTGTTGCCCTTCTAGAAAACACGTCGTGACATTTGCCCTTTACCAGTCATCAGGAGCCTCTCCAAGTTGCACTGACCTTTCAAAGGTGATAGGGAACAGCCTGGTAATGGTGTTCCCTTCAGCACACTCAGATGCATCTTGTGTTGTTTCATGGCCCAATAATGTCAAGTTTGCTCTGCTGGTCCTTAACTCTGACTTCCTCCACTGCAATACTTCACTTCCACATGCTCTGCTGTTAGCTGGGGGGCTGTGAGCAGAGCTTGCCAGTAAAGTCTGAGGCAAAAAAAGCATTGAGTACCTGATTTCCATGTCTTTGGGCACTAGATCCCCTACACCAGTGAGAGTGGTGGGCCCTCATTTGCCTCATTCTTTTATTGCCAGTGTCTTTATAAAGGTGGCTTCCTTTCATAACCTGGCTAGTTTGAATTCTATCTGAATTTGGCTTTCCAAGTTACATCCTTACATGCTTGGGAGTTTCCTGCTGGGTAGCCCATCCCTGTTTCCATGTTCCAAACCTTCGCTTTTGTGCTTGAGGCAGAGGTTGCCCATTCAGCCAAACTGTCTCTTTGCCATGCCTGCTAGATTTCTAGCTAACTAGAACAGATTGTTCTTGTGCTATGAACATGTAGTCTTTGAGGATCAACCCACTCTTCTAACCTCTGCAAAAGCTTCCCACAGGATCCTACCAGTGAGTTTCCTGAACATGCTCTAGTCTGCTCTCCTGAGGTCCAAGGTCTGCTGTTTCCCTTCCTCAGGTCTCTTTGGGTCTTTAATTCCACTGTCTCATGGTTGCTTCTGCCAAGGCTGGCACAGACTTTGTCATCCCGGGCCAATTCTTTCTTGTTTGTGAGTATTAAGTAGGCTTGTTGTTCATGTGAGTCAAAAAAAAAGAAATGTTCTTGATGGTCAAGCACACCTTGGATTGCTTGTAGCCTACCAGGTTCTTCTTCTTGTAGGAGTGGTAAACTATTTACTTAGATGTTCATTAGCTTTAACTCCACACTGACAATATCATCTTTGATGTCATATTGAATTTACTGTAGCTCTGATCCTTTTTTTTTTTCCTCCTGTATTCAGATCTGAAATCCGTTTTAATGCTTGAGATCAATTTCCATGGGCTTCGACCCTGAACATGGGTCTTGCAATATACACCTTTTCTCCTCTCTGAATATATGCATCAACAGCTTTTCATACAATTTCATGCTCTTTCTTGCTCCAGCCAAGCTTTTTTACTTTGTTCTTCCTCTCAGCCTGTACAGGGGCAGTTTCAAAGCCTGTCATGGTTATGATTACCTCCAGGATTAGGGATTCCATTCATTGCTGCCATTGTCTTTTGTCCTTGTAATAGGAATAGATTTTTAAAATGTATTTAGCCAGGAAAGCGTTCACTAGCGTGCTACATTTACGAATTTAAAGAGTCTAGGACTTCACATCTTTTTAGAATTTGCCCGAGGTCAGAATTTCACTCATTTCCCTTACAGTTTCCAACAACTGCCAATAAGAAAAATACTGAAAGACAGAGCTTATCTGCAGGATACTGCAGCAGAGGATGCTTGAGCAGAGCATTAACACACAGGTTTAAAAAGTATAGGACTACACATGCAGTGAACACTAAAAATCCCTTTGAGATGGCCAGCAGTTGAACAGACAGACATAAATTCCACTTAAAATTTGGTACGGAATGAACGAGTGGATCTGAAGTCACATCCTTGGATGATCTGAAGCTGTACACAAAGGTCACTGGGGTTTATATCCCT